TGCCAGCCCTGCTGGGGCTCCTGCTCCGCAGCCCTTCCTTGTGCTAAGCTCCTCTTGCCATGTCGTCCTCTGGCATCACCAAGAAAGTGCCCAGCTCTGCTGTGGACTGGCTGGGAGGTCTTCCCCAGGGCGCTTTCCTGAGCGGTGCTTGAGAAAAAGGGACCAACTGCCCCTGCCTTCTGGCCAGGAATGCTGCAGAGGCTGCAATCAGCCATGTGCAAACAGACAGCAGGTCCTGGAGACGACTTTCTTCTCCCAGGCAATGAGCAGGACCTCTTTCATCCCTGCCCTGCACTACTATGAGCCCCCACGGCACTGATACTCACTGCCAACTCTTCTCCCCCTCAGGAAGCATTTCTTCTGGTTGAGTGGTGTCACCACCGTGGTCAGCACCTTCTTGTCCTTCATCAAACCAGCCTTAAACGCCTACGCGCTCAACTGCATTGCCTTCCACCTGCTTTACCTGACACGGAAAGAGCTGAAAAAGTAAGGAGGGTTTTTGGAGCTCCTGGCACGCTCACAACATGGTAGTGAGTGTGTACACAACACTGAACGGAGCCCAAGGCTTCGTCAGCTACATATTGGGTCATCAGATCTGCAAAGAACTGGGGTAGCCTGGGAGGGATCTGGGAATGGGCACAGGCAGCATGGTGAACAGTGGGATATGAGAAAGCTACCTGGCCTAGGTGTCTTTCAGCACAGGGACAATCCATGGGACAGAGTGTCTTCTCTCCAGCTGCCATCTCTGCCATTCTTTCCCCTTAATTGGTCTGTGGGAACCAATGTGGGGTTGGGAGGAACTTAAACTCATTGGAAAACTCACTTTCCTTCTAACACAATATCCCGCTCCCTCTCCGTTCTTGTCCTCCAGATGCAACGACTACCGGGTTCACCGGACGGCCAAAATCATGATCATGTGGTGGGTACTGGCCATCACCAGCTGGATAAGTGACAGGTGGCTCTGTGGCCTCTGCCAGATGATCAACTTCCCCTACTTCCACAGCTTCTGGTAAGGGCTGCAGCAGCAGGGCTGGAAGCCTCTCATTTGAGGAATGGAAAGGCCATGGCTAGGAGGGATGGCCAGAGGGCCATGGTGCTTGACAAGGGAACAGCCACATCCTCGCTTAGACACCTGCCCCTTTCCTCTGTGACCACTGATGTTGCTCCTCACCCTGGCCCCTGCCCATAGATTTTGATTTAATCCCTGCTTACCTTACCTTACCTTACCTCCTCACCCTTACCTGCTCAACACCCGCAAAGGGTGTTCTGCAAGCCTATGTGGTCTAAAATCGCCCCGGTTAAACATCTTGCTTTCCAAAGGCTGCATCATGGAAAGCTGTGTCACGAGAGATGTGATTTGTGTTATTTTAACAACCAAACTGAAAGACAGTGATTTGTTTAAGCAAGTCATTTCAGTGCCTGAAAAACTCCTGCTCTAAGGGATACAAACAAAGCTTATCTCAGATTCATCCACATGAACCACAGGGATGATTGGGTTGTGGTGTTAAGATACCAAGGTGACTGAGTTAGGCCTGGTGATGTGGGACAGGCCGTTTTGTTGGGGTTGAAGTCTCCTGGCTTGTACCATCCCTGCACATGGAGCTGGCCCAGACACTCCTGTGCTCACTGAGCTCTCCTAGGAACATTCTGTAGGAAGAAAGCCCGCAGGTCTCACGCTCCTTGCAGCTGGCTCTTCTGCATCCTGGGATTCAGATCTTCCCCTGTCAGTGCTGTATCCTCTCAGTCTATTCCTCCCTCCATCCTGTCATGCGACCAGATATAGGGGTCTAGCGTAAGACCAGAGCTTCTCTGAACAGGGCTAGTGTCTTGAAGCAGTAGATGGTGCTGGCACAGTGTCTCAGCATGCACCGTGCGTAACCATCCTGGTGACAAAGCTGGCCTGCTGTGCGCCCAGTCTGGGTGAGCTCAGCCCTGCAGTGCCTCCTCCTAGTGATGCTGCTGGTCACATTCCGTGACAAAGTGCAGGGCGGGTGGGCCGTGGAGTGACTCCTGCCTCACGGATCCTGTGTTCCTTGCCAGGCACGTGCTGATAGCCATGTCCCTCCTCTACTGCTGCCCTCTGGTCATCTACTTCGATGTCAACTACGAGATGCCATCATTTAAGCCTAAACTGGAATATTGGCCCAGTGACTCCTGGCCTGTTGCAGTGCCTTACGTGGAGCTGGAGCGATCCCACAAGCAGTGCTAGAGCCGTCTGCCCTCGAGCATCCCTTGGGCACAGGGTGCGCGATGCACTCAACGTGCGTCCGCATGGGGAACGCCTCGGCCACACGATTGCTCCTCAAACAAGGGCGATGGGGCTAGTGAATGGGCCAGGGAGCAGCTGAGGCCTCGTGATGCTGGGCATGAAGCAGGGCGGCAGCCAACGGCGGTGGAAGACTCAGCCCGGACCCACGCTGGGGAACCGCAGATCTCCTTCTCCAGCAGATCCCCACGCAGAAGTGGAGGGTACAGGATGCTTCTTTTGTTTTCTTCACTAGTCAGCTGCAGCATCCCATGCTGACAAGGGCACAGCTGCAAAGACAGAAGCCTAACTGGTGATAGCTGGGTTTGTTGGGGCTTCTCTAACTATTATTATTGATTTTATTTATTGATATATATGGTCTTGCTCAGGAGAGCTGTGCATTAAAGCTATGGACATTAATTTGCTTTAGGGTCTTCTTTCCCCTGTTATCTGCCAGCCACTCAGAGTGGCCAAAGCTCTCTCTGACCTTGGGAGGGCTATTTATAAAAATACATCCTCCCATCCTCAGGGGACAACAGCATCCCAAAAGAGACTCTGTTGGCCTGGGCCCTGGGATGATCTACCTACCACCTGGGTTCACAACACGCTGCGTAGCTGCTAAATCTGCAAAAGACAAGAGCACAGCCCATGCTCTAGTTTCCTCTATCTCCTTCTTTTCCTTCCCTTTTCTACTGCACTTTAGGCTCCCATGTGTCTCCATTCCCCTTCCTCAGCCTCCAGTGCTCCAAGCTCTTCCCAACTCTGATGTCTCTGATGGCCATCACATATAACTCGGAGACTTCCATGCTTATGGTTGGCTGGCAGCAGAGAGTGAGAAAAGGAGCCAACACGTTAGTTAAATGTTCGGGATGCTTTAGCAAAACAGAGGTGTAGGAGATGCAAAGTTCTAGAGAAAGATCAGCATCAAGCCACAGGCACAGGGCAAAGCTTTCCAGGTCCTCCTTGCAGTGCAGTCACAGGACAAGTTCCTCTTCTCCGAGCCTTGCTGCATTACCATGAGGAGTTGGACCATGCCAGAGGTCCATGTCCTTCCACGACCAGCTGGGACGATGGCAGGAGCAGCAACAGGCTGGCAGAGCTGCTGAGGTTGCCTCCCTGCAGCGCAGCCAGGACCAGGCGATGCCACCCCAGGGCACCCTGGGCTCTCCAGGTCTCTGTAAGAAAAGCAAAAGCAGAGGCTCTTTGGGCTCATTCCCTGGGGAAGAAGGTGCCGCACAGCCACAGACGCCCCTGTGGTGGCCCTCCTGTGGCCACCACTGCCTTGTGGGTCCCTCTGCAATGGTCCCCACAACCGCTAGATGGCAAGTTCGGCTCACGAACCCCACGCAATATTTCACGTGGGGAAAGGCTGCCTCGTGCGAGGGCTGAACCCCCAGGCCCCCTGCTCGCTCCCTCCCCGCACAGGGGACAACCACGTCCCCATCTGCACAGCCACCGGCGAAACGTCAGCGCAAGGCGCAGGACCAGGGGGACTTGGGGCCCTGGCCTTTGTGTGCCCGGGTGTCCCCACACCGGTGCCTGTCCCCTCTCTGCTCTCCTCTTTGTCTCCTCCGCATGCCATCGCTCTCGCCTCTCCCTCCGTCGCCCGGTCTCCCTTTCACTTCTCCTCCCCATGTTGCTCCCTCCGGATCCCTCCCTCCCCGCGGCCCGTCCCTTCCCCCGGCCCATCACATTCTTCTGCAGCCTATTAATAACTTCTGGGCAATTGCACCGGGTCCCCGCTGGGCCCGGCCCCTCCGCCGGCGCTGCCCCGCACAGCCACTGAGCGCGCCGGCAGCAAGTTCAAAAGTGCAGCGGGGCCTTCAGATCCTTTCTCCCCTTCAGGGGGTGGAGGAGGCCGGCAAGCAAAGAAAGGCCTCGTTGCCAGGGAACCTGGCACAGGAAAAGGGGTCACCTTCACCTCCGCTGAGGCGGCCGGGGCCCTCCGGAGATGGACGGCTTCCAGCAGCCCCGCGAGCCGGGGGATGCCGAGAGCCGCCGCGAACGGAAGGAGGCCGCGGCGAGGGCGAGCGGGGCTAATTGGCCGGCTCCAGCGAAGCGGCCGGCGCGATGCGCGGCGCAGAAAGCCCGAGGCAAGATTGTACCCTGTGTCTTATGGTAATCAGGGAGGTGTCGCGGGCGCCGCTGCGCTCAGAACAATGTGGCCGCAGTTGAGTGACTGTAACAGGCCCCGATGACAGCCAGGGCCGCGTTAAAAATGCCTATTCAAGCAGATCAAGACACTGAGAGGCCTCATGGGGATCTGAAACCCTCCGGGATTTCTGTATGAAGCCAGAAGCTGGATCCCTGGCCCTGGGAACCTGTGGAAAAAAAAAAAAAAAGAGAGAGAGAAAAAAGAAAAGAAACCTACAAAGCAGCGTTAGAAGAACAGCCTGCGGCTGGGCCTCCTGCTCCACCAGGGCTGTAGCCTGAGAGCGTGAAGTGGCCCCAACGCCGATACGTGACTGGCCCGTGCACTGCTAGAGCTACACAGGGTTATTTGAGGCTGGGGTGGCACCTTGTAAAGGTCCCTGGGGATGCCCTGTCCTTCCTGCAAGTGAGCCATGGGCCCAGCTTGCGGGGTGCAGATTGCCCTGCAGAGCTGGGAAAACAGCCCATAAAAACCCAAGCAGGGCTGTGAAGCAGATGAGCCAGGGCTTTCCTGCTGTGAGCTGAGAAAGGTCCTGCAAGGCTGCACTGGCAAAGCTGGAAGCCCTCAGAGAGCCCAAGACAACTGTGGTCCCACCTCAAACCCTCTGGGCCATTGGATGCTCCAGAGATACCTTCTGCATGGGGACCATTAGAGGTGCATGTGCCTGTCCAGGCAAAACCAGGCATCTCGTTCAGCAAAGCACAAACAGGAAAACAGGAGGGCTGCAAAACCCATGTGCTCAAGGAACCGAGTTAAAACTGCTCAAAATAAAACCTTTCCTTATTTTTGCCAGATGAGCTTTAACTCAGATCATTTCCCCAATTTGGTTCATCATGTGGCTGCCCAAAACCACAAGAAAAGAGGCAAGAGAGGGAGCACGGATGAGGAAGAGGACAGAGAGGCTGCTCCTTTCAACTGATGCCAGATTAAAGAGGTTGTGAAACAACAGCATCGGTCGGGCCCATTCGGTGCAATTGCAACACAAACGAAAAGACATTGATAACGCACCAGTCCTGCAGGATCCAGGATTAACACTTACCTGTCCTGCTGCACTGAGTTGTCGCCTGCCCTTATAGATTCACATTGCAGGATTTGCCCTGCAGACTAGAAACTTTTCAAGGCAGAGTGATTTATCTGTAAAATACATTGCACATTCATGAACCTTCATAAATAATGCAGGAGTAATTAATAATAACCCAGGCCCTGCTCTTAATGCCAGGAGAAGAAATTGCTTCATTGCAAAGTCTCTCATGCCTTTTGCAAAAGATCTGTATTTGTTAACTGCCTTGGAGAGCAAGGGACACAGAACGAATGCTGCTCGGTCTCGGGATTTTATTGCAAGCCTGGCCATCTTTATGATTGATTTAAAGAACCAATTTCTGGAGTCATGTTAAAACAACCTCAGTTCAGCTTTGATTTTTTTCAGCTTTAATCTCTCAGGTCTGCAGTGAAAATCTTGAAACCAGGAAAGGGCTGAGAAACTCAGGGAGCGGAGAGAGAAACTCCAAATGCCGTTACCTTTAGAAATTGTCCTTTGCATTTGCAGTGCTACTTTTGAGCCAGGATTTGCAACTCAGGGCTTAGCAATTCTGTGACAGCCACCTTGCAACGGCTAGGAAAGAAGACGTCCGATTTTTGTGACTGTTTTACTTGCATCCTTGTTATCCATCTTTCAAACAGGACAAAATTAGCTGTAGGGTCATAAAAAAAAGAAATATCATCATTTTCCAGGTGTTAATAGTTGTTCTGGACAGGAGAAAGGTACCAAATACTCGGCCATCGTGTCTGCAGTGCTCAGGGCCCTGCCTAAGCCCTTCTGTGTCTGTTCACTTGGTGGCCGCAGACGTCACTACGGATGGCCTTGACCAAGGAGCACAGAGGAGATGTGGGCAAAAATACCTGAATAAGGAAAAGCATGGCTGGGACCCGGCCAAACACACGAGTTGACAAAATTTTATTTTCATCAAAACCTTAGATGATGTTTTCAATCATTTTTATAAACCCTTATTACTTGGTTTCCCTTGGGAACACATTCTCCCTGCTCTTTTTTTTTTTGAAGAAAAAACAGCAATTCACATTTGTCTGATGAAGTGGTCCAAATAACTTCAATTCTCAAGTAGTGGCTGCTATCAAAATACCTAAAACTGATGGATTAATTTTTCTATGCCTTCACATCACATTTCAGAACATCAATTCTCTCCCTTTTTAATATAGTTTCCATGAACATTCAGTCACTTAGGCCCTCATTCGTGAACACATTTAATGTGTTTCTTTAAAAATGTGTTGAACTGAAGTATTGAACTGAACTGGGCTTTTCTGGCATATTTAGTTTCACTAGCAGAAATATTTAACACAAGGCAAAGATATTTCAAATGCTGAAGGATTCACCGAAAGCAACGTTCACTTGTGCACTGAGCTATAAAATTCAGTCTGCAATTGATGCTGCATTGATTTAGATAGGTCTTCCGTAAGAGACCAGATGTCTCCGCTCACAAAAATGGTTAAGCATATGTTTAATTTTAAGAATATGAATATTTCCATTGGTATCAATGGCACTAGCTTACACTTAAGAATATATTTGGCTGGGCTGGAGCCAGAAATAGTGTCATGTAATGCCAATAAAGTGCAAACTGTAATATTTCTCTAAGTGCTTTCTGGGACCAATCTAAAAATTAATCAATGAAGAACTGTAATGTGAAAATGCAAAAATTAATATACGTGAGATTTTGCTGTTTACTATTCTAGTGCTGCCACTAAAGCAGTGCCAAGTGAAATCAAAAGCAAATCTCCGCAGAGCAAAAATGGCAACAAG